TTGGAAGTGCCTGACGTTGACTTGACATATCTTGCCTTCATCCTCTCATTGACTTCTGAGGCGAAGACGGCATATCCAGCGGTCGTACAAAGAGCTTGTCACGCGACAGATGAAGATCACAGTCAAAAATCATTTCAATGGCAGAAATCTAATGCTCTCAAGAACAGCACACCTGTTCCTTAGCAGGAATAATGGCAGTTTTTGATCCCAGTCCTGCTGGCTTTGGTACAAATGAAGAGGAGATGGTCCAAGATTGTTCGATTGAACTTTTCCACTATGCCGTCTGACTGTGGATGTAAAGGAGTTGTCCGAGAATTCTAAAAAGTCCTCTAAATGGAAGATTTTCTTAAAGTATTTTTTAATTTACACCAAATCCTTTATTAGCGTTCATTCTGCATTTTTAATTAAGACTATCTAAAATTTCCTTTTCTTATATATGTGTAGATATATATATATATAAAGGAAAGAGATAAAATTTACCAATTTATCTCTTTTCTTCTGACAGCACCCTCTATTAGGAAGATCGCCAAGGCTTACGCTCGCCGATTAATTAGCGTCTTCGTTTTTCACTATCGTAGATACCTTTGTTCTCGGCATGCGGTAAGCAGTAGACTAGTCCCGGAGACGCAGGCCATCTTTATACTTTTAAACAGTTTTATGTTTCGCCTTCGTGGGGGTCACAACCATTTTCTTTGTTGTTTGACTTTTTATTTGTAACTTTCTTAAAACTCGTTGTTAGCGAATTTACAAGAAAGTTCAGCAAAAAACTACAAAATCACTTGAACGTTCAGAGAGTTTATTGAACAATAGCGACAATCGTGCTAATTTACGGATAATCGTAGCATAGTCTCGAAAGAGGTAAACAATGGTACTTAACACAGTTGGGACCCATCTATTTCGAGTCTCATTCCAAGAAAATGTATTCGCTTCCAAACAAGACGTCCGTCAAATTAGACTTGTTTTATAGTGGTCGCATACCGACGTACCACTGTAGTAGTGTTACACTCGCACAAATCAGAAGAACATTTTATATATACACATGCTGATTCCCTACCAGACCGACAAAATTGCAGGATGTGTAAGAGATACAGAAACGACTCGGAATCGCATAGGAATAGAGGGTCGCAAATGCCATAGTCGCGAGCTATGGTACAAAGAAGCAAAGAAAAAGAACAGAAAGAGCAACACATTAATGGGACAGAAAACATTTTATTGAAAGGTTGTACTACAACAGGGGTTCCTTATGTTCTAAAAGATTCCGCCGGGCAGTCTTGCAACAGATGGCGCTGAACGAAAGTTTTCGTGATCAGCGATCCTGATGGAAGTCGTCATTTGTGATCCGTTTCCCGAGGTAGGTAGGTAGGTAGGTAGGTAGGTGACGGAGGATGGGGAGACTTGATGTATAACATAGGTAAACAAGCATGTGTCCCCGTCCTCCCGGAACCAAATCGGGAGTTCATTAGTTTTAAAAGAAAGTGCATACATTGCCATACAAGTGCGCCTTTGACATATTCTTTTTAAATTTCTATTTTTTTACATGAGTTCAGATTATGGTGGACATATACATAATATGTATACATAACATGTTTCCGGAGGTAGTATGATGAACGTATATTCAAACGATGAACTGGTCAACATGCTGATTGTGTATGCAGCTGTGGGAATGTAACGGGCACGTCGTTCGGTGGTTTTACCCGAACAGACGTGCTCCACATCACAGAACCTTCGCAAGTGTGAACAGAAGGTTACGTGAGATTGGTTATTTAACGAGAGCTACAATGAATCGACAGAGAACGTCGAGGACATCTAGCAATGAGGAGGCGGTCTTACATTTGGCAGAAGGCAATCCAAGTACGAGTGCTCGAGCGATAGCAAAATAAATGAGTTTATCTCAATTCATTCTCTGGAGGATACTCGCAGCAAACCAAATGAGCGCGAACCATCTTCATCGAGTCCAATTATTACAGCCTGAGGATTATCCACTTCAAAGGACATTTGCTACATGGTTCCTGCAACAGAATGTTCATGGCTTCCGCATTGTTCATGGCTCAGTCATACTTCACACGTGAGGGAGCCTTCAATCAGCATAACGCCCATGTGTGGCCTTTGAAGAACCCTCGTAGTACGCAACCACGTACAACTCGAGTGTTTCTCGGTCAATGTTTGGGTCGGCATTCTTGGAGACTACATCATTGGACTGTACCTTCTGTCCAGTCTTATAGGCGGAAGGGCATACCTGACCTTGCAACAAGTTCTGCTCGACCTTATTGATGCAGAACATGTTCTTCCATCGTTGAGCCGCTTCATGTGGTCCTAGCATGACGGGACTCCTCCACATTACACGATTGACGTCCACCGTCACCTCGACGTAACCTTTGGATAGCGGTGGAGAGATCGTGGTGGCCCGTTTCATTGGCCTGCCAGATCACTGGACCTATCATGCATGGACTTCTTTTTCTGGGCTCACATGCACAGTTTGTTGTACGAGACGCCCGTTCCTTCAGTTGAAGACCTCCTCTTTCGAATATCGGTAGCTGCCGGGAGGATAGGTGACATGACAGGAGTCTTCCAGATCTTAAGGAATTCCATGCAGCGCCGCTGTCAGACCTGCCAGACGACTTCTGGTTCTAATTTCGAACACCTATTGTAGTCCTTTCAATAAAATGTTTTCTGTCCATTAATGCTTCCCACTGATGTGCTGCTGTTTCTGATCCTTATCTCTGCTTCTTTGCGCCATAGCTCGCACCTACGGCATTTCCGACCCTGCATTCCTATGTGATTCCGAGTCGTCCTGACACACCCTACAATTTTTTCGGTCTGGTAGAGAATCACCCTGTATATACAAGGTCTGTCCCAAACATAATGCGCCCAATTTTTTTTAAGAAATCTATTGAACCTATTTGTACAATTACTCGAACACCTCTCCTGCTTTAACACACTTGTTCCAACGCGATTTCCTTGCTTTATATGCCTTCTGGAAGTCCGTCACAGGAATGTCCTTTAGTAACCTCATCGTAGCCGCCTTGATGTTCTCCAGGGTCCCCAAATGTTGTCCTTTGAGGGATTTTTTAATCTCCGATCAAAAGTCTCCGACGACGTTTTCTCAAGTTTGAAACAAAACTTTTCACGTATCGCTGCTCGAGAGTTTTTCCCATCTTAATTTCGACCAAGCACTCACACGAGGGTTCACTGAAACAGGCACTGTGACTCTTCAGGAGCTCGGAGCTGACTGGCGCTGGTCGTGCTATGTTCCCAAAACTGCTGCTGTGCAAGCGGAAACACTCTGCAGTAGATAGTCACACCAGAAGAAAATGGGGCGCATTACTTTCAGGACAGACAATCATAAGAATGAAAGGGGAATACTATTAAAATTCCAGTATTACAAAGTAAAATAAAGGAAAAAAACTAAGAATTACAATTTGAAGTCTACATAAATTCCAAATAACAAAGTCGTAAAATTTAAAGGAAGATAGAAAAATTAAGTTAAATTAAATTAGAAATACTTGAAATAGTATGTAAATATAGTACAATGGAAAATATGGAAAAATTGCTCTACAAGCATTCGCAAGAAATTGAAATATTAGAATCTTAATAGAAGTATTCTCCTGTCATTCTTATGATTATGTTTAATTAAATCATTGCAGCCTAGGCGCAGGATTCATAATAGTCCTTTCTTCATTTTGTTTCTGTTTATATATATATAAAGTTTCATTAAATTTATTATTGTTAATTATTTCATTAAAATTATACTTGAAAAAAATATTATGTATGTTCAGCTTTTAAGTGCAATGTTACACAATACAAGGATTGATTAAATAATGGTACTCTAAAGTAGGATTCGTGGATTCAGTTATACTATTAAAACGAAATGTTTGCTTATTTGTCAATTGGGGAAGAGAAATTTAAAATACTTCTTTCTTCATATGCTTCAGAACTGCGGCTGATTCTGAATAAATTGTACTGAAAAATTCCGAACTGTCTTGAGTTTCTTGTAGCTCTCTTGAAATATTGTCACATCATTAAGTTCATGTAGTCAGAGCTATCAATTTCAACACTGAAGTGATACGTAATGCTAACATATTTTTGCAACTGAAAATAATGCAATCACAAAAGCAGAACATTTCAGTGACCTTAAAAGATCTCAAAAGATGATTCTCGATCGTACCAGTTCTGTATCATTTCTAGTGCATGAACCCAAGATTTAAATTATTTCGCCGTAACCGTAACAGGTTCGTGTGTCTCTTAATTGGGCTTCTCCAAGTTGTGATTTAACTCCTTTAGATAACATTTTTGGGGTTATTTGAAATCAATGGCCTATGCGAACAAAGAATAAACATCGAACATAAGGCTGGTGTTATTGTATACACTCATCAAAAACTGGATTCATTTAATTTAATCGTATATACTGAATCGAAGTGAACACTTAAATGACGTTTTGTTGAAACCATAATGTCATAAATTGTACTTCAAAATAATATGCAAAGTTTGGTTGTATCTGTAGTACTTTTTATTTTATTTCATTTAAAAAATTATATCTTTCTTGTTGAAAGATCCTTTATTTACGTATTTTTAGCCATAATTTGCTGGATGCCTCAGTTTTTTCTAGTCCGTTTCGTTTCGATTAGTGGAAGTTCGACTTACTCTGCATTAAATAAAATAATATTCTTATTAACAGGAAATTTCACATGGCTTTAGCCCTTTTGTTCCGCCTGGCCCAACCTTTTCAACAATGGCTATTGTTGATTGGTAGAATTTATGAATTTGTAGCCCTGAAGACTTTTTAAAATTGGGAAAATGCCTTGTTGTGCAAGACTTTATTGTTCTTGCTTATTGAGTGTGTGTAATGATAATGTAGCTAATTAATTTATAACCAGGAATGTACCTTATGTCATTAAAAACCTCAGGCTTCGTTTTATTTTATCTTTATACATAAAATAAATATTTTAACTGAAAATTTTAGTAGCCTAAATTTCAATCTGATGAGCACAAGCTAATGCAAATTGATGCAGTCAAGTTTTCAATTTATTCAGAAACTTAAACTACACCGGATCCTTTAACATAATTCTTGTACATTCCAGCTAATACTTCAGCTGCAGATTTTATTAAACTCTGGCTGCTGATTCCTGTCAGAAATTCATAAGCGTCCTTCGTATCCATGTCAAGACAGTATTCGATGCCGGATTCAATGTTCACTGCGAATCCAAACTCTCGTAATGGATAGTTTTCTGCCGTTTGCCTTTCAACTGCTGCTACGTATTCGTTTGGTATAGGTATACTGGCAGTGAAATTGTGTAAGTGGAGTCTCAGATTTGGGTCTTCAAGGCATAACATTGTCATCATTTGCCACCTAGTAGCAGAAAGATTATTTTAATATTTTATGCTATTTATAAAGTAGCAATGTAAGTTGCAAATTTAGAAACACGGCAGTATGTCATCCTAGTTCGGAACATACGGAAAAGAAAACAACGAGACACCGGCCCTGTGTATCTTACACGAACCATTTTAAGCTACATTCGACTCTCACATTACTCAAAAACTATTAGACCTACAAACTTGCAATTTTGTATATCTATTACAGTTCCCTTGAATAACTAGAATCCCAAATTTCATTTAATCTGTCTCTAATTGCTATGGAATTATTAAGGTCTGAAAAGTGTCATTTTTATCACTCACTGATTCGCTCGCTCATCAAAAACCTAGACCACTTCTAAGTGACTTAGATACTTGAAATTTGACATCAAGGAAGATCATTAGGCATATACAAAGGAAAAAGTCTAAAGCTTCAAAAAACTACATTATTATCCAGGTTATACCAAATAATACTCATAACGAGCATTTGACAACGTCACCAATAGATGGCGGTGCACCGATCACCGTTTTCCGCGCCACTCAGATGCTAATTAACTTTGCTGAAAGTGAAGAATAAAAACCTGTTTATAACAGGTGAAATGATAGCACAGAGACAAGAGTGCAGAACAGACTCTTTTTTTTTTTTTTTTTTTTTCCATTTTCGTTGTGGGCTCGTGCCTAACTACAGGTGACAGGTGACGGAGGACGGGGACGCCTGGTGTCTAACATAGGTAAGCAGGCATGTGTCCCGCGTCCTCCCCTATTTAGAAGCAACAACTCCCTGGAGCCATAGAAGGCTCCACCGGGAGTTTATAATGATTTGAAACATAGAAGTTACATTGTCATACTGGAGAGGTTTCAGCTTTACATTGGTGATAGAATAACATAATGCTGTGATTGTACATAGATGCATATAAATATAAATAAACACAGGAGAGTAACAGAGAGAGAAGGCAGGAGAAAGGATGAGAGTAACAAAAGTGAGTAAGAGTAAAGGAGATGTGAAGAAAGAGCATGTGGACATACACTAGCAAAAGCAATAGCATTTACGCATTCATTAACAGGCATTAACACGATAATGCTTATAAACAGTACATTCTGATTTGCGAGACATGCTCTTGATATCTAAATATGTGAACAATGGAATATGTTTAAAAAAAATCGCGCACTACACCGATGCAGTACTTAAGTACTTACAAGTGCACAAGACTGGAGCAGATACACGATATTTACAGATACGCTGATGCTAGTTATTACAAGTACACAATTCCTACAATAGCAAATACATAATACAATTGCTAGCACACTAATATACATGCGCAAATACATGATATTTACAAATATGTTGGCACTAATACTTACAATTGCATGATACTTATTTTAAAAAAAGGCAAATTCACAATACAAAAGCAAATACGCAATTACACATATACAAATACCCTAATATAGATACATTAAAAGCAGATACACATTACAGTTACATCGATTATAATATTATATAGAAATCGTAAATAGAGGGACAATAGCTATGCATGTTGATATATAAATTGAAATATAAATTCCTATTATGTAAATAATAATGCTATTATAGAAATGCTGGTGTTGTGGATTATTCTGGTAATACACCGATATAAGTGCTTGCAATACAATACTTACAGGTGTCAATACTGGAGTAAATGCATGATTTTTACAGATACACTGATATTAATATCTACAGGTACACAGTTCTACGGAAGCAAATACACAATACAATCGAGAATAACAAACTTACAAAAACAGATTCGCATTACAAACGTAAATACGCAGTTACTCATATACAAGTATGCAGATATAGTACATGCTCTTTATAACTCAAAGCCACAAGTGCCGACAGGTGCACGTATTTACGAAAATGCTGACACTGAGAACAGGAGGACAATAGCCATACAATGTTAGTTGATAAATAAAATTCCTAATATTAAAATATGCTATTATTGAAATACTGGTGATATTGAGATATTTTTAAAAAATAGTGTTATACTTGCAGTACACCGATACAGGTGCTTGCAGTACAACGCTTACATATGCTGGGGCAAATACATAAATACATAATATTTACAGATACGCTGACAGTGCACTTACAAATACGTGATACAAACGCAGATATGCAAATACACATGAGCACACAAATACATATACGCATTAAAAACCAAATACAAAAATGCTGACAAATGCGCATAGTACAAAACCGTGGCATGATTACAAGATTATGCAGTAGTACAATAAAGATACTTCATTATAAAAACTGTAACACAATACAAATGGGGTTATTTACTAATATTAGCTTAATAGGCTGAATATTATACAAACGTTAATATAGTTATTGTCAAATATAAAACACTGAATGCAGCTCTTACTTGTAACATGAGGATTTGAGTGAGTGTCATGATACAGTATCGATGCAATATACGCATATTAGATATAACACGATACATATAGTAGCATAAAAATCATACGTAGTACACCGAATGCTACACTTATTTATAACATGTTGGTGCTAACTATTGTCATTCCGCTAATTATTGGACTCTTAAAGCAGTAGGGCACAAATACTGGGAGGTTGTTATAGGTCCGGATGACATATACGTATAAGGTCATAGGTGTAGAATACATTGTGCTACTGTGGCAGGCAAATGTCTTGGCCATAAGCCGCTATTGTATGAATAATTTTGCATATTTTATTCATGGCCGCTCTGTTCTTAGACAGGAATTTGCGAAAGGCCATGAGGTGTTTGCAGGATGTGGCAGGTGGTAGTTTGCCGTCAAGGGACATTGAAAGAGAAATTGGTCCTGGGTCCCTTCGTCCCCGCATACGCAGTTGTCTGTATTGGAAATACCATGTCGATAGTAGTAACTTGGGAAAGGGCCGTGCCCCGTTATAAAACATACGATCGGCGAGATGGTCATTAAACCCTCAGTAGAGACTTTCAAGTAGAATTCAAAAGTTCTTCGGCCAGTCACTTCTTGCTCCCGATCTTGCTGCCATATTTGCATTGCTTTCCTTCTCAGATTTTGTTTGAGGTGTGAAGGATGTGCAGGTAATGTAACTGCTCTGGCATTGTTGTTCTTGGCCGCCTCCTTTGCAAGTGCGTCTGCCGCGTCGTTCCCGACATTACCGTCATGGGCTTTGACCCAGATCATGTCGATGTGAACTTGTGGGTTGCTTTGCAAAGTCCTTTGAAGGTTGGCTATAAGTGGGGAAGGGTGGCTGTGATTGCTTAATGCGTATATGGCAGATATGCTGTCAGTGAACAGCTTGGCATTTTCTAGGTCGTTGTTAATGACATACTCAGTGGCGCTCGTAATGGCCTGAAAAACGCTATTGTAGGAGTTCAAGGACCCTTTCCATTCGTGTGCCACCCTGCCATCCTGTACGTGGAGAAATGCGCTTCCAACTCCATTATCGTATTACGACCCGTCAGTGTAGAGCACTGTTCTGGTATGCCGTGTGTTTGGTCTTGAGCTGCGTTGTGTTCTTGAGATGTCGACATGCATACCGAGGCCTTTGAGAGCTGGATGTGTTACACGGATGGTCATATTGCGTTGGGCTATACATAGAATTGCCGAATGTGGCGTCTTTTCTTAGATGAATAATTCGTGTATAAGTGGCCTCAAGTTCTGCCTAGATGTGTAGGGGCATTAGTCCCGCTAGCACTTGTGCAGAGTTCGTCGCAGTAGTACGATATGCCCTACACAGACCAAGGGCAAATGGGCGTTGAAGCATTGTTAGCTGTCGTTTCTTGCGAGCCGTCATAGGACTCGCCCAGATGGCTGCGGCGTAGAGCGTGATCTTTTCCCCCACCGCTGCGTAAAGTACTTTTTGTAGATGGGGATTCCATACCCAGTTTCTCCCCTGAAACTGGCGAATCTTTCTTGCTATTACCGAAGTTCGTTGCTCCTGAATATGGGGGATCCATCAGAGACCACAATCCCACACTACGTCGAGATACTTTAGATTTCTTACAATCTTTATGTTTTGCTCCATGAGCTTGATGCAGGGCTCCTGGTGGAGTTGGTGCCTGCTCTGGGAATAATGAGAGCTGCAGATTTGCCAATAGAGATTTTGAGTTTGAGTGCTTTACAGAGGCTGACGAATTTTGCACACGTCTCGCTTCCGTTCCTTTCTATGTCATTACGTGTTCTGCCTTTTACTAGTAGGGCCGCATCATCCGCATAGGCTGTGACGGTAGTGTGCATAAGCCAGTTGGCCTCAAGTATTGCACTGAACGTCAAGTTCCACAAAAGTGGCCCCGCACATGAACCTTGAGGGCAGCTTCTTACTTGCACTTTTGTGGTGATTCCCTGGTTATCAGACATTAGTAATTGTCTGTCTTGTAGGTAATATTCTAGCACGCTATATAAGTTAGCTGGACACCGTGCCTCCCTGAGGGCCTGCTTTATTGCAGGCCACCAAAGGGTATCAAATGCGCTTTGAAGCTCGATCGATATAAAGGCTGTTTGTAGGCCATTGGCTCTATTTGCTTGAATGTGACTGTGGATGCGGTCTAAGGCGTGTGTTGTAGATCTACCTGTCTGGAATCCGAATTGATTGAGGTTGAGATAATTAGTGCATTGGAGATGGAACTTCAGCCAATTTACTATTAACTTTTCATATATTTTTCCCATTGCTGATAGGAGGCATATCGGTCGAAATGATTTTGTGTCCATCGGATCTTTGTCCTTCTTCAAGAACAGAACCACGTGTCTTTTCTTAAAAGCCTGTGGGAAGACTTTGTGGTGGAGCAGCTTGTTGAAGTAAGTAAGGAAGAGAGATGACCGCGCCCTGTATGCAACTTTGAGTGTAGCGTAATCCAGTCCGTCAGGGCCTGGAGCCTTTTTCAGCGGGAGGTATCGAAACACGTGAGAAAGTTCTTTGGCGGCGAAGGGAATGTCGTCCTGTGTGCATGGGATACTGGCGTTTTCCGTTAAGAGTCTTTGTTCTACGGTGTCTTCTTGAGG